CTCTTTTCTTCCCTTTCCTCTGTCTCTTGCTGAAATCCCCAACTTTCTACTCTTCCTTCACAAGAAGCTTGGCCGAAATCAGCACATAAGGTTTTCTACTAGAGGCACAATAATAGGATCCAGACATGCATCCAATTACTACCTGAGAATCCTCCTGTGTAGCTAGTGATTAGGGGTGTCAATGGACCAGTTTTGGATTGGACCCCATCCAAACCAAAATCAATTTGGGCAGATTGAATGGACCAACAAGACATATTGAATTGGACTAGTCCAAACTTAATGGTCCAAAGTATTTATTGGATTGGATTCGACCTGGTCCATCCGCAATGAATTTATATTGGATTGGGTTGGATTGAGCCAATACCATTGATAGAAGATAAGAGTATAGGTGTCAATGGACCAGGTTTGTTAGAATTAATCTAAATTTGAACAGATTGGACAGTCCAGACATTGAATAGACTGGTCCAAAGTATTCAGGATTGGATTGGACCTGTGTAATGGACTCACATTGGACAATTGAATTGGACCTGATCCATTTGTAATGGACTCACATTGGACTGGACCAGATTGAACCAAATCCAGTCCAATTGACACCCCTACCAGTGATGTAGGACTGCTTGCTCTGATACCAAATGGTGTAAGATCACCTGATATGATACCAACTTGATGTAGGGTCAGCTTCTTTAATACCAATTAATGTAGGACTTGAATGACCAAAGGATGCTATGAGGGTAAGATGGATTGAGGGGTGATTTTATAACTAAGATGAGGATTGGCTAGGTTAGAAAAGGTCTTGAGCCCTAATTATTCCTGTAGATTTGTTCCAAACTTGTGAAAAGTTTTGAATTGAGGAAATTAGGTCTAGGGTTTGAATTTTTTGCATGTAGATTCGTCCAAGATAGATGCAAGGGATAAACAAGTTCGATTAGGTTTGGATTATATCTTCTACAACAGGAAGAAAATTCCAAAGTAGGCAAAAATTAAAAAGAAAATCTATGGAATCTAGAGTTCAACAATGGAATTTTGAGTGATAATTAGCAAGATCAAAGCAATTGACCAAAGGTTTCGTACAAAAGGACAAAAACTACCACAATGGGAAATTTTTGGACCATGATGTAAACATTGAAGAAAATGCACTTGGATCAGGTTTAGACCTTTAGAGATGTTGATGATTGTAATGGTTATTTGCAGAAATAGAGACGAGAGAGAGAGAGAGAGAGACCAGAATTCATCAATAGTCACACAAGAAGAAAATAAGCTCCAAAATTAATTACCCACATATTGCAACTTTACACATATAAACACTATAGGGGTTGCCAGTCCTACTAGAACTAACGATTCCAAAGTAGAATTTTTTCCACCAAATATCCTCGCATGTTTCCATGAAGATCTTTGGGGATGGACCCCCAAATATGTCAAATACCAATATAGAATAAATCCTATAAATTAAAGTTTTTTTCTTCAAGTTATAAATAATAAAAAATAAATAAATAAATCCATGTCACTGAAAAAAAATCCACAAGATGAGTGTATCTTGCAGCATTGGTATGCAAAGAAATACTAAAAAAACGAATCTGTCACTGAAAAAATCCAGGTTACTAAACTAGGAACAAAGAAGGAAGAAGACATACAGCTTGCAACACAGCCATTGTTGTAGAAGAAGCCAAGCGTCGTTGACTAGGTCCTCCAAGCTTGCCTCTGACAGAACAAGGTAAAAGCAAATCCTCAATTATAGGACTTGACCAGAATATGGAACAAGCTGATTTGGCAAATGACACAAAATCCTCCTGCATGCCAGGCAGATACAAATCCTTTCATTCCAATAGCAAAATGAATTAATTTAAGAAGCAACAAATATGGTAGGGAAGTCTTATAAGACTGTAATATGCTCAGAGCTCCATACCAATATAAAAAGAAAAGGTGTTCTAACTTTTTCAGAAACAATGAAAGTTTCTTCTGTACTTAATTCATCATAGCTTTGGGGCATGTCAACTGCCATGTGACTTCGAACTTTCATTGTAAAATCAGTGTACTTATCCTGTACCATCTGTAACTCTTGAACTAAGCTAAAGGCAAGGATGAGAAACTTCACAGGAATCCATTCCAAATTATCTTTTTGATTGCATATATTAATGCCACAGTTCTGAAGAAACTGCAAAAAAAAAAAGAAAAGGTTAAAACCACCTTCATACTAAATGACACGCCAAGATGATACCATAAGAAGTTCAATCTTCTGCTATGTGTTGCATATAGAGTGTGAAGTGCAGTATACAATAAAATGTAAATTGACTTTGGTCCTTTCTTTTTACATATATTCATACATTGTAGAATCACTAATTTGTATTCTTGAATTAGATGAGCAGGTGATAGCACCTGGCCTCGTTTTAATGCTCCATCTTTTGTACTTTCTTTTGCCACTGTACAATATCCTTGGTATATTAACGATCCAAAAATGGATGTGGAGCATTTTGAGGCTCTCTGTTTTCTTACACCCCCCCCCCCTTTTCTTGAAGGATTTAGACTACAGTACTCCCCTTCTAATTATTAACAAAGTTTCCATTTAAATGCAAGGAAAAGGATGCAATACAAAGCATTATAAACAATTTTTCAAGCTAAGAAAACAAACCATGAATATAGGTTCGAAATGTTGTTCCTCTGTGAATACTAGAAAAAGCAACCTTGTCCATCTTTGTGCCTCCAATGCCCAAGCTTTCAAATCTTCATCATCGTAAGTATCATGGGAATAATGATGATTTATGAATCTTTTAGGGAAGTCATGAAGACTCTTCAAAACCTGCATTTTGGCACTGAAGGTACTTGAACCATTATCCTTCTTATTGCACCCAGAAAACCATTTTTGTACTTTTCCTCTAAAGGAACCTGGACTCCAGAATATCAACAGAAAAATTAAAACACCTGAATGGAAATTGTATATTTACGTGAAGGCAAAATAATTCATGTTCAATTATATGTCATTGTTAAGAATGAGTAAATAAACCAAATGAAAATAGGAGTGAGACAAAGCTTAAACACAAAATTTGTATTGTCATTCAAAATGTACATAGTTGGGATAAGGCATGGATGACAATGATGATTCAAAAGGTACATACAAGTCACTAAATAAAGAAACATCTAGTACTGGCGGTTCAGAGTGACCATCATCACAGAGACACTACCCTCCTCCAAAGCCTCAGATTGTTATTTTCTATGGGCATAAAGAAAGTAAAGACTTAAGGTAACAAACAGGTCATAATTGGTTAGATGCTCAACAGCGCTCTTGGCTAATGTTCTTTGTGCCCTCATATCAAAGAAGCTAAGGGCTTTGGTATCCAAGGGACAGTAAAAGTGTTTCCGAATAGCCCCTTGTAGTTTTCCGAATAGAAAATCACATGACCGGGACTCCAGGTGTGTTCTCATCCCTCTCTGAAACTTCCACATCTCAAGCTGTTACCCTTGCCAACGGTTCCTCTTCTCCCATCTGTGGTGTTGGTAATGTTGACACGGCTTCTCTTTCTTTATTATCTGTTCTATATGTCCCTAAGTTTCCATTCAATCTTATGTCTGTTAGTAAATTAACCAAGACTCTTAATTGCTCTATTACATTTTTCCCTTTTGTGTTTTTCAGGATCTCAAG